TCCCGTGTCTGGCTCCATCTGGAGAGCTTTTAAAAAATTAACAGTCCTAGGCTGGCCATGGTGGGTCACGCTTGTAATCTCAACACTTTGGGAGGTCAAGGCAGGAGGATCACTTGAGCCCAAGAGTTTCAGACCAGCCTGGACAATATAATGAGACACCATCTCTAATAAAAAATTTAAAAAAAAAATTCCCGGTCGGGAGTGGTGGCTCACGCCTGTAATCTCAGTAGTATTGGGAGGCCGAGGCTAATGGATGACCTGAGGTCAGGAGTTCAAGACCAGCTTGACCAACATAGAGAAACCCTGTCTCTACTGAAAATACAAAATTAGCCATGCATGGTGGCACATGCCTGTAATCCCAGCTGCTCTGGAGACTGAGGCAGGAGAGTCGCTTGAACTCATGAGGCAGAGGTTGCGTTGAGCCGAGATCACGCCATTGCACTCCAGCCTGGGCAACAGTGAAACTCTGTCTCAAAAAACAAAACAAAACAACAACAACAAAATTCCTAAGGTCCACTGGGCCAAGGACTCTGATTCAGTGGGTGGGGGATAGTGTTGGGACAGCTGTGTTTAAAAAGGCATCTCCAAGAGATTCCATCAAAGGCTGCCTCTTGGTGCAACATGGGTAGAAAACGGGGCTGGGGAGGCAGGTGGAACCAGGTCCTAGAAGGCCACAGATCCCCAGCTGGGAGTTTGGATTTTATTCTGTGACAGCAAACACCCTCACAATTTGATACTTCAGAAGCTCTTAAACTTTAATGTATCACCCAGGTGTATTATAAATGCAGATGCTAACTCATTAGGTCTCGGGAAAGGCCCAAGAGCCTGCAATTCTAACAAGCTCCCAAGTGAAGTTGATGCTGCTGGTCCCCAGACCACACTTTGGATAGTGAGGCTTTATAGAACAGTTCCCAAAGCAGCTGGGTGCGGGGGTTCACGCCTGTAATCCCAGCACTTTGGGAGGCCAAGGGGGGCGGATCACGAGGTCAGTTCGAGACCAGCCTGGCCAACATAGTGAAACCCTGTCTCTACTATAAATACAAAAAAAAGGAACAATTCCCAAAATATGTTATGAGGAACATTAATTTTCAAAGGAGGGGTTTAAATGTGAAATGAGTTTGAGAAATGCTGCATGCCCAGTCCCACAATGCATGGCAACATCCATCAGGCTCTAGGAAGCAACCCCAGTAAAGATAGGTTTCACCTGTGCTTTTCAAAGTTATTTGACCAGAGAATTCCTCCCTACTCCCCTTTAAAAAATGTAAACATCTTGGAGAAACATCACTATAGGAATATTTATCTGGCCCCGGGCTCTAGATGGATTAAAATTTCGTGAATCTGGAGGCAGGAAAAGCAGTGAGAAGGTTGGGGGCATCATTTGCATCAGAGGAAGGGGCCTGAGCAGGCTTGTGGAGAGGAGGGACAGATGCCAGGTGAGGGAGCAGGAGGAGACACCAGGAGGTCACCCCAGGATGGACCTAAACCTTGGGTGACAGGCAAGAGGAGGAATCATTAACAAGGCAAAGAAGTCAAGAGGGTGGCAGCTGAAGGTGTTTGACAGGCAGAAAAGACCAGTGTGGCTGGAGTAGAGCGAGTGAGGCCAGAGGAAGGGGCAGAGCCCCATCACACAGAGCTAGGAGCATGTGGGGCTCTGTGTTAAGGTCACTGACGAGCCAATACAGTGGTGTGATCCCCTTCATTTTCTTTTCTCAGGCATCGTCTCACTTGGTTGCCCAGGCCTGAGTGCAGTGCGACAATCATGGTTCACTGTAGCCTCGACCTCCTGGGCTCAAACAATTCTCATACCTAAGCCTCCCAAGTAGTTAAGACCACAGGCACCTGTCATTACATAGAGATGAGGTCTTGCTGTGTTGTCTAGGCTGGGCTTGGGCTCCTGGGCTCCAGTGATCCTCCCACGTCAGCCTCCCAAAATGCTGGGATTACAGGTGTGAGCTACTACACCTGGCTAGGTTTACATTTTTAGACTATCCCTTGGGAAGTGGTTGGAGAGTAGCAAAAGTGTGTTGTTTGGTAGAATATTTCTGGAAGGAAACTTCAGGCAATAGTAACAGCAGTCTTCTTTGCAGGCAACCTGGAGGACAGGGATAAATGGGAAACTCCCTGTTTATAACATACCCCTTTGTACTCTCTAAGTTTTATGCTATGTACATGCATTCATCATTGGCTGAATAAATAACTTTTACAAAAGTCATTCTTATAAAAGAGAAGGTTGGGAGGAGCTTCCAGGTAGCAACTGCAGTTGTCTGTGGAAGAGGTTATGGTAATTAGGACTGGGTGCCTGTGGGAGTAAAAGTGGACCAAATCAAAGACGTTTAGGACAATGAATTAATTGTGGAGAGGAACTGAATGTGGATGTGAGGATGCAAGGATGATTCCTGGCTTCTAGGTTGAGTCGTAGGATGAAGTGAGGTGGGAAGACTGGGTAAACAGGTTTAGGACAGATGTAGGTTACGGAGGAGGATGAGATTGGTTCCTGACAAGGTGAGTTTGAAGCATCTCTGGGATATCAGGTGGAGAGTGAGCTGGCACCTAGGGATAGATTTGGTTGTATCGCCCCAACAGGGAGGGCAGGAGTTCCAAGATTAGAAAGAGTTGCTGAGAAGGAGCCGGATGGGAGAGGAGAAGCACCTTGGGGTGGTGGAATCCCTGGGGGCTCTTGATCCAGGGATGGAGGGAACTGCAAGAGACACAGGAGATATTGGCAGAGTGGTGTCAGATAATCTGAGGGACAGAAGAGAGAAATAGGGTCATGTTACTGGGAGGCCAAGGACAGTGAGTTCTGGGAAATATTCTGGAGCAGTGAAAATGATCACAGGTATCTTAGAAAGAACCGTTTGTCCTGCGGGTGAGGGCAAAAGCCAAACTACAAAGCTAGACTAATGGAGGAGGCCTCTAGTCAGGCAGGGGGCTCACAGCCCTCCCCTACCTCATCCCACAGACGGAGTGCTTTAACCATGTGCGGTTCCTGCAGCGGCTTAATTCCACCCACCTCTATGCATGTGGGACTCACGCCTTCCAGCCCCTCTGTGCAGCCATTGTGAGTATAACTGTGCTGTGCCAGATCCCTGTTGACTTCAATAGGGATGGCATCATGTTTGAGATGCCACAGAAGAGACTCAGAACCAGCGAAAGAGACGTATTGTTGTTGTTGTTGTTTATTGTTTTGAGACGGAGTCTTGCTCTGTCACCCAGGCTGGAGTGCAACCTTTACCCCCTGGGTTCAAGCAATTCTCCTGACTCAGCCTCCTGAGTAGCCGGGATTATAGGCACACACCACCATGGCCAGGTAATTTTTGTATTTTTAGTAGAGATGGGGTTTTGCCATGTTGGACAGGCTGCTCTCAAACTCCTGACCTCAGGTGATCCACCCACCTTAGCCTCCCAAAGTGCTGGGTTTACAGGCATGAGCCACAGCCGAGATGTATGGTTTATTAAGGGAACTTACATACAGGGCAGTCCAGTGGCAGCAGGCTGCACTGGAGCACCACTCCCCTTTATAAAAAGCTTGTAGTTTATAAAGCATTTTCACTTAGCATCCTCCCCCTCATTACCTCCACCTGGCAGACTTCATTTAACCCAAAACAAAAGGCCTTGATCCCCTGTACAGCATGTCTCCCAGAATGGAATGGGGGCTCAGATGTTCTTCAGAGACAAGGAATGAATCTCTGGGTTGGAACTCCAGACACACATTGTTTTTAGGCCATAAGGTTGTTCTCAGGGGATGTCTAAGTTATCGCTGCCTGGTATATCTGCCATACAACCTGCCCCTAGCCCTGATTGCTGATCCCTGACCCCAGACCGATGTGACTTTGAGTCACTGTCCTTGCCTGTCTTCTGAACCACTTACTGCTGGTCCCTTGTTCCCTAGGATGCTGAGGCCTTCACCTTGCCAACTAGCTTTGAGGAGGGGAAGGAGAAGTGTCCTTATGACCCAGCCCGCGGCTTCACAGGCCTCATCATTGGTGAGCAGGCCCTCTTCCCTGGCATAAGCATGGGGTTTTTAGGATGTGGATCTCATCTCTAGAACTTGCCACCATATATATGTCACATGTCCCGTTGTATATGACACATCTCTCCTGGAATGTCCCCACCCCAGATGGAGGCCTTTACACAGCCACTAGGTACGAATTCCGGAGCATTCCCGACATCCGCCGGAGCCGACACCCACACTCCCTGAGAACCGAGGAGACGCCAATGCACTGGCTCAATGGTTAGGGGGATGGGGCACAGGGTGGCGGGGGGTAGGAGGCTATTTCTTCATGTTTACTTCCTTGGGCAGCTGCCTATCCAACCCTGAATTCCCTGGTGAGCCTATCCATTCCATTCTTGTGTGTTGTCAAGGGTAGGGTTGGCCTTGGAGTGGGGAAAAAAGGTCCCCAGTCTGTCTCAAAAGCCTCTCAAGGCCACGCATGGTGACTCACGCCTGTAATCTCAGCACTCTGGGAGACCGAGGTGGGCGAATCACGAGGTCAGGAGATCGAGACCATCCTGACCAACATGATGAAACCCCATCTCTACTAGAAATAGAAAAAAAAAAAAAAAGCTGGGCATGGGGGCGCACACCTGTAGTCCCAGCTATTCAGCAGGCTGAGGCAGGAGAATTGTAGAACCCAGGAGGCAGCGATTGCAGTGAGCCCAGATCATGCCACTGCACTACAGCCTGGTTGACAGTGCGAGACTCTGTCTGAGTCAAAAACAAACAAACAAAAAGCCTCTCAAATGCCTGACCCACAGATGCTGAGTTTGTGTTCTCCATCATCATGTGGGATGCAGTGGGGGAAAGGGGTCCTCAGCCTGTCTCAAAAGCCTCTCAAATGCCTGACCCACAGATGCTGATTTCGTGTTCTCCATCCTCATGTGGGACACAGTGGGGGAAAGGGGTCCTCAGCCTGTCTCAAAAGCCTCTCAAATGCCTGACCCACAGATGCTGAGTTTGTGTTCTCTGTCCTCGTGCGGGAGAGCAAGGCCAGTGCAGTGGGTGACGATGACAAGGTTTATTACTTCTTCACGGAGCGTGCCACCGAGGAGGGCTCTGGCAGCTTCCCTCAGAGCCGCAGCAGCCACCGTGTGGCCCGTGTGGCTCGCGTCTGCAAGGTGGAGAGGGCTGACGTCGGGGCATGGGTATGGAGGCTGGATCTCTGACCCTGGTCCCTTATCCCATGCCTCTACCTCCCCAGGGAGACCTGGGAGGGAAGAAGATCCTGCAGAAAAAGTGGACATCCTTCCTGAAAGCCCGTCTCATCTGCCATATTCCACTGTATGAGACGCTGCGTGGGGTCTGCAGTCTGGATGCTGATACCTCAAGCCGTACACACTTCTATGCAGTCTTCACGCTGAGCACACAGTGGTCAGTGCAGGGACCATGGGGAGGCAGGGAACTGGGGACAGCATAGGCGCTGGAGCAGAGGTCAATGAGGATGAGAGAGGATCCACTGTGGGGAGGTCCAGCTGCAAAGTGAGAATTTTAAGCACATCAAGCTAGGCTAGAACTAGGGAACGAATACAGTGGTCCACTGACTCTACAGGAGAGGCCCTTGGGACTACAGCTGGGGTTGGCCGGGGTAACAGCAAGCTTCAGGCTGAGCATGGGTCAGGGGGCCGGCTTGACTCCATGTAATTCACCTCCCTACCCTATGTCCCATTCCTAGGAAGACCCTGGAGGCCTCAGCCATTTGCCGCTATGACCTGGCCGAGATGCAGGCTGTCTTTGCAGGACCCTATATGGAATACCAGGATGGTTCCCGGCGTTGGGGTCGCTATGAGGGTGGGGTGCCTGAGCCCCGGCCTGGCTCGGTGAGTCCAGGCCTGGGGCCAGTGCTGAGTAGACAGAGCCCAGGGAAGGGCCAGAGGGTCTGGGCTTATGGAGAGGGCAGGCAGGTGGTAGGGTCCCGAGGTTCATCACCCCCATCCCCACCCCAGTGCATCACAGATTCGTTGCGCAACCAAGGCTACAACTCATCCCAAGACTTGCCGTCCCTGGTCCTGGACTTCGTAAAGTTGCATCCACTGATGGCTCGGCCCATTGTGCCCACACGTGGACGGCCCCTGCTGCTCAAGCGCAACGTACGCTACACACACCTTACAGGGACGCCTGTCACCACGCCTGCTGGACCCACCTATGACCTGCTCTTTCTGGGCACAGGTGCTTCTGATCCCAAGCCCTGATCCCTGTTGGCCCTGATCACTAACGCTTCTGAATCCATTCATTCCTGCTATGACTAGTCGGGAGGTCCCAGTGTCCTGGCTGAATCCTTGTTCTGGACCTCATGACTCCTGAGCTGTTCCGATTAGGCCTCTTGCAGGGTGCTGCCAGCAGATCCCATTGTTGCGATCTGACTCTCTGCTCTTTCCATGCCAGCTGATGGCTGGATCCACAAGGCCGTAGTCCTGGTCTCTGGGATGCACATTATTGAGGAGACACAAGTATTCAGGGAGCTCCAGTCTGTGGAAAATCTAGTCATCTCTCTATTGCAGGTAGCCCCTCTCTGTGACCCTTAATATAGCCTTGCTGAAACAGGAGGAGGGAGTGGGGAGGTTGGGCAGAGGCTGGGGGTCTGTAAGTATGAGTAGGGGGCGTGGCCAATCAACTGTCCTATCTGGCTCCCAGCACAGCCTCTACGTGGGGGCTCCTAGTGGAGTCATCCAACTACCACTCTCCAGCTGCTTCCGCTACCGATCCTGCTATGACTGCATCTTGGCCCGGGACCCCTACTGTGGCTGGGACCCTGGCACCCAGGCCTGTGTGACAGCCACCACCGCAGCTAACAGGTCCCAGGGCAACAGGTGGGAAGTGGTGAGGGGTGAGAATCACATGTGGCCTGAGTGGAGGAGAGAAGGCCTGACGGCTACTGGGGGAGAACGGGGGCTAGTTATTGCTAACAGACCTATCCACCCTTTCACTGGGAAACTGAAACCCAGTGCTTATTCATGAAAGCTGATCTTCTGTCCCCAGGACACCACTGATACAGGACATAGAGAGAGGAAATCGAGGCTGTGAGAGCAGCAGGGATACAGGTAAGTGACTCATACACAAGTGTGGGTCTAGTCGAGCAGCCTGTCCTTTTTGCCATTCACTGTCCTTTGTATGTGCATGTTTGTATCTGAATGGCTGTGGCTATGTGCATTTGGTAAGGATGACCCAAACACAGATCCTGGCACAGAGCGATGCTCAACAAACATTTGCTGCCCAAATGAATTATAAATGAGGAAACACATTCAAGATGTGACATGTCTTGTCACCTCTGGAGCTTTCAGCCAAGTGGCGAATGACAAGGGTTCAGGAGGGTAATGGGTATTTCCCCATGGAAGTTCAGATGACTGAGCTGATACCTGAAGAAAGAACAAAAGTTGATCAGCATAGCTAAGATGTATTAAGTGTTTACTGTGTGCTAGGCATTGATCTAAATACTTCTATGCATGATGTCATTTATTCTTACAGCATTCTTATGAGGAAAGTGCCATTATTATCCCCAAGAGGGACCTCCCTGAGGCCCATGGAGTATAAGTAAATTGCTCAAACTTATTCAGCTGTTAAGAAACTGGGCCAGAATTCAAACCTGGCCAGGTACGGTGGCTCACACCTGTAATCCTAGTACTTTGGGAGACTGAGGTGAGCAGATTCCTTGAGCCCAGAAATTGGAGACCAGCCTGGGCAACATGGCATAACCCCATCTCTGCCAAAAGTACAAAAACTAGCTAGGTGTGAGGCACAGGTCTGTAGTCCCAGCTACTTGAAAAGCTGAGGTGGGAGGATTGCTTGAGCCTGGGAGGTGGAGGATGCAGTGAGCTGAAATCGCACCATTGCACACCAGCCTGGGTGACAGAGTGAGACCTCATCTCAAAAAAAAAAAAAAAAAGCAAACCTGACTCCAAGCAGTCTGACTTGACTTTGTGCTTCTGGTCACTATACTATGCTATCTCCCACAAGTTAGCCAGACAAGCAGAGGACATAGGGTAATGGGGTGACATGCAAGCAAAGGGAACAGCAGGCAGAGGGAGCCTGACATGATTTAATGGCAGGAGAATAGGCTGGACAAGCAGGCAGAGACCATGTTGAAGATTTTGCTCTTTATCCAAAAAGCAAGAGGAAACCTCTGAAGAGTTCTAGGCTGGAGAGTAGCAAGATCAGATTTGTGTTTTTAAAATACCTCTCAGGCCAGGTGCCGGTGGCTCACGCCTGTAATCCCAGCACTTTGGGAGACTGAGTCGGGCGGATCACGAGGTCAGGAGTTCAAGACCAGCCTGGCCAATATTGTGAAACCCTGTCTCTACAAAAAGACAAATTAGCCAGGCATGGTGACACACACGTGTAGTCCCAGCTACTTGGGAGGCTGAGGAAGGAGCATCGCTTGAACCCAGGAAGTGGAGGTTGCAGCAAGCTGAGACTGCAACACTGCACTCCATCCTGGGCAACAGAGTGAGACTCCATCTCAAATAAATAAATAAAATAAAATACCTCACATGGAGAATGAATTACATGGAACCAGAATGGGCTAGCAGTCATGCAAGGAGAGAAATCAACAGGTCTAAGACAGATGCAGGAAATGGAATCATAGTGAGAGTTAGATACAAAGATGAAGAAGGGCTGGGCAGTGGCTCACACCTATAATCCCAGCACTTTGGGAGGCTGAGGTGGGTGGATCACTTCAGGTCAGGAGTTCGAGACCAGCCTGGCCGACATGGTGAAACCCCATTTCTACTAAAAATACAAAAACTAGCTGGGCATAGTGCCAAATGCCTGTAATCCCAGCTACTCAGGAGGCTGAGGCAGGAGAATCGCTTGGACCAGGCAGGCAGAGATTGTAGTGAGCCACGATTATGTCATTGCACTCCGGCCTGGGCAACAGAATCAGACTCCATCTCAAAAAAAAAAAAAAAAAAAAAAAAAACAAAGGAAAAAGAGAAGGGAGACTCCCAGGAGTTTCTGACTTAAGCAACTGTGTGGCTGGTGGTGCCATTCATAGTGGTAGCAACTCAAGGAAAGGACCCAGTGTAGTTTGGGAGAAAAGCTTTGGCCTTTCAGGCGCCCAAGAGACCTCATGTGGAGATGCCCAGCACATGGTAGATATCCAAGTCTGGCACTCACGAGAGAAGTCTGAGGTAGAGATTAGGAGTTACTGGCAGATGGCAGAAACTGAAACCACAGGAGAGGATGAGAACATGGAGAGAGCATGGAAAAGGGCCCAAGGCACTGCCTGCTTCCTGGGAAGGGCCAGCGTGAACCTTATGTGGAAGCATGAGCACAGAGCCTTGGTCAGCTGTCACTGTGATTCTGGGTTCTGTGCTTGGTGCCGGGGACTTGGCAGTGCACACACAGTCTGGGTTGCCATCTCCAATCCCTTCCTGGGCTGGGCCGGTACTGACCTCTCCCCATCCCCCACAGGGCCACCACCACCACTGAAGACCCGCTCTGTGCTCCGGGGTGATGATGTCCTCTTGCCCTGTGACCAGCCGTCCAACCTGGCCCGGGCCTTGTGGCTGTTCAATGGGAGCATGGGCCTGAGCGATGGGCAGGGTGGCTACCGTGTGGGCGTGGATGGGCTGCTGGTGACAGATGCACAGCCTGAGCACAGTGGCAACTACAGCTGCTATGCTGAGGAAAATGGCCTCCGCACCCTGCTGGCCTCCTATAGCCTCAAGGTTCGGCCAGCCACTCCTGCCCCAGCTCCGCAAGCCCCTGCCACAGCTGGAGCACAGCTGACAGCTGATGTGAGACTGCTGTATGTGCTCGCTATTGCTGCACTTGGTGGCCTCTGCCTCATCCTGGCCTCCTCCCTCCTCTATGTGGCCTGTCTGCGGGAAGGCAGACGAGGGCGCCGACGGAAATACTCGCTGGGTCGGGCCAGCCGGGCAGGAGGATCTGCTGTGCAACTACAGACAGTCTCAGGCCAGTGTCCTGGAGAGGAAGATGAGGGTGATGATGAGGAGGGGGCTGAGGGCCTGGAAGGCAGCTGTCTCCAGATCATCCCTGGAGAGGGAGCCCCAGCCCCACCGCCCCCACCTCCCCCACCGCCACCGGCTGAGCTGACCAATGGCCTGGTGGCACTGCCCAGCCGGCTGCGAAGGATGAATGGCAATAGCTATGTGCTCCTGAGGCAGAGCAACAATGGAGTACCAGCAGGGCCCTGCTCCTTCGCCGAGGAACTCAGTCGCATCCTGGAGAAAAGGAAGCACACGCAGCTCGTAGAGCAGCTAGATGAGAGCTCCGTCTGAGCCCAACCTCCAGAACAAATGCTCTTCCAAGCCAGCCTGCCTGTCCCAGGCTGGGCCACTGCGTCCCTAACACAGCCACCAGACCTTCATTCCCCCAACTCCATGCCCTCTTCCCAACTTTTTGATGTCCCTGTAGGGCTGGCCAGTCAGGCCCAGCCAAAGCCCCCTCCTCAGTTTCCACAGACCCACATGTGAGCAGCCCAGGCCCATCGGTGCTCCTCAGAGGTAGGTTCTCCCTCAGGACCAGGTGCCCTGCAGACCCAGAGCCAGTTCCTAGCCCCTTAACCTAAACACTTAGAGGAGAGGACTCCATCCTCCTGTTCCATTCATCTGCCCAAACCCTTTCTCTTTCTCCCAGGCAAGGCTCTGCAGGTCCATATGGCCTGAATGTCACCACCCTCTGCATGGCCCTGTGTGCTGGATGGTCCTGAAACCAGACAAGACCTCTGCCAGCCACCTAAGCCCTGTGTACATTCACAGGCACATGTGGAAGAATGTTTATCAGCTGGGCTGCAGTGCCCCCACCCTGACCTTCTCCTAGTGCATTCTTATTTCATCCTTGCTTCTGGACTTGGGGTACCCTCCCAATTGCCACATCCTATCTGGTCCTCTTCCCCAGCTCCAGCTCCATCTGGTGACCTCTTTGGCAAGAGCTTGGGAACGGGCCAGCCTAGGGAGGTAAGACTGCATCACTCCCCTCCTCTCCCTTCCTGTGCACCCCTTGTGAATCAGCCTCCCCACTATCCTTGGTCATTCTCAAGAGTGTTAAGAGACAGAGCCCCAGGCATGTCCCATCCCCGTGCACATGTGGTTTAACACACACCTGTGTCACACATGTGCTTATATTTCCATTCACACATACCTTCTGAGCCTCCCCTTGCTGCCTCAGACCTGTGTCTGTTGGATTTGGCCCATGGACATTTCAGAGGGAGATTTCCTTTCCCACTTAGCTGTCCTCACAGGCCCTTCCCTAGGATGGATGACCAACACTGCACTCAATTAGCCAGCCTCTCTTTTGGGGGAATCAAGCTTTTGCTTCCCCTAGACTACAGCAGAGAAAGGGAGGAGAAATCTGATGTCTCAACTGGCACATGAAGCCCATTCTTGGAACTATGCAAAGGGCAGAGGCTGGGAGTTTGGATGCTTAGCTCCTACCCCTGTCCTACCTCACCGGGGCACTTTCCGGGTCCAAGGATTTCTGAAGTCTCTAGGCCCATATGGGACAATCAATCCTGACTGAGCTCCCCCATCCCCCTCAGGTGAGGATGACTGTTATTTTTGTAGCTGAGAACGTGGAATCCCACGGGTTTTTACTGCCCTTCACCCAGCCTCTCCCACCTCCACCCCACAATGAATGTATTTATTGTGAGAATGGCTACACTTCTTTAGGAATGCCCCCACTTACCACCAGGTGGGTGGAACAGGCATGTGACAGAGTGGGGAGCTTGGGCTCAGCTCCTCCCCCTGCTGTTGGTTAATAAACACCCTCTTTCCCCACAGCTATGAGTAGTCTGCTTCATCTAGATGGGCCCACCCCTGATCACCAGGGACAGGCTCAAGCCTATACAGAAGGTGCTACAGTGATGTCTGCCTCCAGGGTTGGCCCTGCTCCCCTAATACAACTATTTGCAGAGGAAACTGGGATATTCAGCTTCCATCTTGACTCCTTGGCAGGCACACAGGCCCTTTTATTAAGATTCACACTATTCATTAATTATGGTATTAGGACATGGCAAGAAAAGCAGTTCAAGAATTCTTACAAGGGTTTCTAGATTTTTATTTCCTCTCATTTCTCCACCATCTTCCTCTTTAAAAACAAAACACAATAAAACTAAGCCTAGAAAATACTCACTAGTCAGCCTTCCTGCCCTTCCCCATGGTTCTCAGCACCCCCACCAGCTGGCTCAAGGGACACAGATGTTATTTCTGCACAGAGAGGGGCCCTGGGGGAAGGAGGTGTATAGCTAAGACCAGAGAGAGCTTGTTACCCAGGGCTTGGGCTGAGAATCACTCCCTTCTCCCATTCAGGGTCAGGCCTATATTAAACACATGGCCTTTGAAACTAACCACCCTGAGGGTTGTTATATGTTCTGCGTGGATTTTTAAACAATGAAATTTGGGGCCTGGGCTTAACATATGCACACATTTTGAAGTAAGACCTGAAATGACCTTGGGTAAGTTTATTAACCTAGGTTTTATAAATCCTTAAACAAACATTCACACAGATATAAAGTGCCTAGCCCATCAGAGCAGAGAAGAGCTCTGTATAGGTCACTTGTACCAATAAGATATCAGGGATTCTTCAGAAGCCAGCCTTGAAACTTCTCATTGTGTTTTGAGATCATTATTATCAATTTGGACTTCAAAAACAAGGGCCCTGTAAAACCCTTGAAGTCTTCCTCATCTCAGGTTTTAGCGATGTCACTTGGATAAAAATTAAGGGTTCACAAAGGTCACTGCCCCCAGAAGCAGGCCCTGGAAATAGATAGGCAGCTCTTCTTTATCCCAAGCAGAACCTGTGTCAGCTTCCCCACTGATGGGTTCCATTTGTCTACCTGGGGTTGGAGTTGGTGGGCAACTCTTCACTGTGCTTGCAGCTGGGCTGAGGCAGGATCCTGGACCTCTCGGGGGCGTCGCCCGTGGAACGTGGTCGATTTGTTGGTAAAGGGGTGCCACTGGCCCTGGATGCTAGGGTTGTCGGTGTGGAAGGGCTTGCGGATGCGGATCACATCCAAGCCCGACTGGTTGGCCAGCTTCTGCACCAGCGTCGAGATCTCCTCGACCGACTTGCAGTGGATGCTCTCCTCGCGCACAGCCCCGTTAACTGGCAGGAGACAGGCGAAAGCGAGTGAGTGAGCGGAAAGCTGGCCGGTGCGGCCAGGCGAGAGGGAAGCTAGCCGGCCGAGCTCCCGATCCCGCCCTCCAGCTTGAGCGTGGCCCCACTCACGGTATTCCGCCACTATTCTGGGCACGCAGCACGGACGCGAGTTCACATATATTACGACCCCTGGGTTCCGTCGGGCGAAGTCGATCACCTCCCGTTCCACGAACTCCCTAAGGGACCCGGGAGAGTGAGCAGTAAGACTCCTAACCCGGGTCGACCTACCCGGGAGTCGTCGCCACCCCCACCCCCACCCCCAGCCCCAGCCCCAGCCCCGGCCCCGGCCCCGCCCGCGCCCGCGTACTTCCCTTGGCTCACCTGGCGCCGCGAGACGAGGGGCCGTCACGGCTGACACTGAAGCTCAGACGCTGCAGCTGCTGCACGTAGCGACCCAGTCCGTTGTGGAGAACACTGGCCAAGAAGCGGCTCGGAGTCCCGCGCGCAGTCATAGCTAGTGCTAAGAGGCAGCGGAGTCCAAGCGGCGAGAGAGGGCGGGACTAAACGTCGAGACTTCCGGTGCCGGGACGACGACTCACGTCACGGAGTTGTGCTTCCGAGGTCAAGGCGAGTAGCGTGTGCCGGAGACTCACGCTGCTGGCGAAGTGGAAGAGACGAGAGTGGTCACCCGGGGCCGGGGGTCGCCACGGAGGAGCTCAGAGTAGTAGGGCAGAGTGAAGACACGGAGAACGAGAGAGACGGGTATTCCTTTGGGCTCGGGACTTGGCAGGAGTCGTGTAGGGCGCTCTCGCCGCGTTGACGTCCCAGTGAGGGGAAGGAGCAGCGGAAGAGGGTCTCTAGTTGGCGCCTAGGGCAAAGGGACTACAAAAAGGATGCCGATGGCTACAGAGATGAGGACGACGAGGAGATGCTGTGGAGGGGTAGTAGAGGTGAGGAGATGATGCAGAGAAAGCGTATCAGTGAGGAACTGTATAGAGGGTCAGAGAGCTGAGGGGGTGGAGAGAAACTGGAACGGATCATAGAGGTGAGGGAGCCATTGTAGAAGGACATGGACGTGAAAGGGTCATGTAGCTGGGCATATGTGTGAAGTAGCAACGTAGAGGGTCTGAAGAGGAGAAATTCATGGAGAGAAAGAAGGCGCCTAGAGTGAGCTCCTCAGAGTGCTGCGTGGGGTATACTTAGAGTCTGGTCTATTGAAGGCACGCTAACCAGGCCCCTAAGGCATTTTAAGTAGTGCATTCCCACATTTGGCTAGGAATGTGGGTCCTCCTCCGAGGTGGGAACCCCCTCCGTATCTTCCTACCCCAGCGTGGGGAGTGGATGGGTCGGAGGGGCCTTCCCCGAGGCTTGGCCCCAGGGCCTCCTCGCAGACGGTACAGGAAGAAGGCTCTCCCAGCGTTGGAGATACCAGTGTTGCCTGTAACTGTAACCGAAATCCGCCAGTATTTGCGGGGGCGTGGGATCCCCTTCCAGAATGGCCACAGTTGCCTGCGGACACCGAGCCCCTTTGTAGAGTCTTCGCAGCTCAAAGACCAGACTGCTGTTACCACTTCTTTCAGCCTCTACATTGACAAGACCACAGGCCGCTTTCTCTGCATGACCAGCCTAGCAGAGGGGAGCTGGGAAGACTTCCAGGCTAGCGTGGAGGGGGGAGGGGATGGAGCCAGTGAGGGGCTTCTGCTTAGTAAGGCTCCAGAAGTTGAGGACAGTGAGGAGGTCCGGAGGATCTGGAACCGAGCAGTACCTCTCTCGGAGCTGCCTGATCCGGAGGAGGTTCAGCTGGCTTACACAATGTTTGGCCTTACCAACATTACAGATGACACACTCAAGCGTTTCAGTGTGCGATATCTGCGACCTGCCCGCAGTCTTGTCTTCCCTTGGTTCTCCCCTGGGGGCTCAGGATTACGAGGCCTGAAGCTACTGCAGGCTAAATGCCAGGGGGATGGAGTGAGCTACGAGGAAACCACCATTCCCCAGCCCAGTGCCTACCACAATCTGTTTGGATTACCACTGATTAGTCGTCGAGATGCTGAGGTGGTTCTGACGAGTCGTGAGCTTGACAGCCTGGCCTTGAACCAGTCCACGGGGCTGCCTACCCTTACTCTACCCCAAGGAACAAGCTGCTTACCCCCCGCCTTACTCCCTTACCTGGAACAGTTCCGGCGGATTGTATTCTGGTTAGGGGATGACCTTCGGTCCTGGGAAGCGGCCAAGTTGTTTGCACGAAAACTGAACCCCAAACGATGCTCCTTGGTGCGGCCAGGTGATCAGCAGCCTCGTCCCCTGGAGGCCCTGAACAGAGGCTTAAATCTTTCTCGTATTCTTCGCACCGCCCTGCCTGCCTGGCACAAGTCTATTGTGTCTTTCCGGCAGCTTCGGGAGGAGGTGCTAGGAGAACTGTCAAATGTGGAGCAAGCAGCTGGCCTCCCTTGGAGCCGCTTCCCAGACCTCAATCGTATCTTGAAGGGACATCGAAAGGGCGAGCTGACGGTCTTCACAGGTAACCCTTTGAGAAATCACTACTTAGGGTAAAGGGGCAGAGGATCAGGAGACAAAAGCATGTGGGTTTGGGCCACTGACAATGTTGAACAGAAAGTTTGCCGCTTCCCTCCAGTGTTAAAGCTCTGAGCTGTGTCTTGGTTTCATGGGTAGGACTTCCTCCTCACCCAGCTCTGTTCCACCCCGATGCAGGGCCAACAGGCAGTGGAAAGACAACATTCATCAGTGAGTATGCCCTGGATTTGTGTTCCCAGGGGTGAACACACTGTGGGGTAGCTTCGAGATCAGCAATGTGAGACTAGCCCGGGTCATGCTGACACAGTTTGCAGAGAGGCGGCTGGAAGATCAACTGGACAAATATGATCACTGGGCCGACCGCTTTGAGGACCTGCCCCTCTATTTCATGACTTTCCATGGGCAGCAGGGCATCAGGTGAGGCTCCCAGGTTTCAGGCACCTCGCTTTCCCAGACAGATTCCAGCACTCAGGAACCTCTGGTTTCTTTTCCAGCTCCAGCAGGAATTCCTTCAGCTCCTTAGGTTTGGAGTTTTTCAACGAATGATAGGGCAGGCCTGGGCACATGTGGCTCATGCCTGTAATCCCAGCACTTTGGGAGGCTGAGGTGAATGGATCACTTGAGCCCAGGAATTTGAGACCAACCTGGGCAATGTAGGGAGACCCGCCACCCCCCCCCATAAATTTCTTTTTTTAATTAGGCTGGGCATGGTGGTGGCACACACCTGTGGTCCCAGCTACTCGGGAGACTGAAGTAGGAGGACTGCTTGAGCCCAGAAGGCTGGGGCTGCAGTGAGCCGTGATTGCATCGCTGCACTCCAGCCTGGGCTAGAGAGCAAGACCCTATCTCAAATCATCATAACAATAGAAGGGCAGAAGAGGCAGCCAGGAGAGTTTTCAGGATGCCCATTCTTCTGCTTGGGGTGGTCTAGAGACAACTTGTCTACCTTCTTGCCTCTCCTCTTCTCAGGACTGTGGTAGATACAATGCAACATGCGGTCTACGTCTACGACATTTGTCACGTGGTCATCGACAACCTGCAGTTCATGATGGGTCACGAGCAGCTGTCCACAGACAGGTGACATCCTCTCTTGTCTAGCTTGAGCCCGCTTGGACATACAACACACCCTTCTCAGGCAGCTGGCCTCTAGGCACACACGGTGTGCTCTCTTATTTTCTGAAATGTGTGCAGGCACGTACCACCCCCATGTGCATCATATGGAGGTGTGGGGTGTGGCAGCAGGATGTATGGACAGGGATCTGAGTGAGTCCTTGGGTAGAGGGAGGTAGAGCGGGTTGTGGTAGTTTGTGGGGAGTTGTGAATGAATCGAGAGTCTGGGTACGCTCTTGCCCTTCTCTGTCTAATAAGCTCTTTGTGTTGCTGGGATGGGGGCAGGATTGCAGCTCAAGACTACATTGTTGGGGTCTTTCGGAAGTTTGCGACAGACAATAACTGTCATGTGACGCTGGTCATTCACCCCCGGAAAGAGGATGATGACAAGGAACTGCAGACAGCATCCATTTTTGGCTCAGCCAAAGTGAGTGGCCTTTAGAGGAGCTCAAGCTTTGGAAAGTAGCGTGGGCAGGTGTGACCAGGGACAGCCCTCATTCGGCCTTAATCATCCTGACTGTCCGTCTGGAGCAGGCAGGAGGCAGTGCCTCTGGGGCCATGACATGAGGAATGTGTGTGCTGGGAATACAAAGGCTGATAGTAGCTGGTTCTTTGCTCTCCTTGCCCTCCAAAAGCTCACATCCTCTCATGTGGGAAACAGTGAGACAGAGACTGCAGCTCAGTGTGATAAGAGCCATGACAGGGCAGCACAAGTATTTGGAGAGCAAAGAGAAAAGATGTCCGAGTCAGCCTGGAACATCTGGGAGACTTCCCAGAGGGGGTGACAACAAAGGTTGGTTTGAGGTTTGGTAGACAGTGGGTATTAGACAGTCAGGTAAATGGGAGGGCCTTTTGGGCATGAGGCCTAGCACAATCCTGGAGCTTCTAGTGATACACTGAATGCGTTACATACCAGGCCTGGGCTGGACACAGGGAATTCAGGGCAAGGAGCACAAATCATGTGCCATGATGTAGCAAACATGGAGCTGGGAAAAAGAGTAATGCAGAAGGGGGAAATGGCAGGGTACTCTGGCTCATGCCTGTAATCCCAACACTTTGGGAGGCCGAAGCAGGAGGATCGCTGGGGCCCAGGAGTTTGAGACCAACCTGGGCAATGTAGTGACACCTCGTCTCTACAAAAACTTTTGAAAATTAGCTGGGCATGGTAGCATGCACCTATAGTCCCAGCTACTCAGGAGGCTGAGGTGGGAGGACTGCTTGAGCCTGGGAGGTTGAGGCTACAGTGAGCTGTGCTCAACGCCAGTGCACTCCACTCCAGCCTGGGCAGCAGAGCAAAACCCTGTCTTCTAAAAAAAAAGGAGAATCGTCTCCTTCGTGAGATGTGACATTTAGACTGAGACGTAAATGAGAAGAAGCTGAGGTCGAATGGGGTGGCCCACTGTGGAGCAGGAGAGGGAACAGCATGGGCAGTGTGTGAGCAGCAAGCTTGTCAGGGAACTGAAAGATTTTTATTGGCCCCAGTATCATGGTCAGTAGTTCAAAGAGCTTTGTGATGAGGGAAGTACTTTTCCCTCTTCCCATTCTTATCACTCCTCCCTGCCCTGTCAGCCTTCCTTTCTGCTTTGTTCATGTCTTCTTACTCCCACTTTCCTCTTTCTGCCCTCTGTTCCCCAGGCAAGCCAGGAAGCAGACAACGTTCTGATCCTGCAGGACAGGAAGCTGGTCACGGGGCCAGGGAAACGGTATCTGCAGGTGTCCAAGAACCGCTTTGATGGGATGTAGGTATCTTCCCACTTGAGTTCAACAAGAGCTCCCTCACCTTCTCCACTCCACCAAAGAACAAGACTCGGCTCAAGAAGATCAAGGATGAAGCTGGACCAGTGGCCAAAAAGCCCTCTTCTGGCAAAAAGGGGGCTACACCACAGAAATCTGAGAGTTGCTCAGGCAAGGCCCCCATTCTTGACCAGCCTGATACCTCCAAGCCTTCAAAGTGAGGGCGGTGCAGAGCTAGTCACTGAAATAAGCCTGATAGGACAGGCAGGCTGGGGCGTAAAACACAGGGCTTCTGTATCCTGTGATCATGAGCTGTGTGTCTGAGGGGCCTAACCTAGGGCAGACTTCCGAAGTGAGAAAATTCAACGTAGCAGACTACTTAGAAACCACTGTGTGCCGGGCTTTGTTCAAGGTCCTGTATATACAGCACTGAAAAGAGAGATAAGGTCTCTGCTCCCATGCATTCTAGTGGAAGAGACAAGCAAGCAACGAGCAAATAAGCAGAAAACCTAGTTTTAGTTCATGAAAATGTTGTAAAGAAAATAGAAATGCGGGCTGGGTGCAGTGGCTCGCACCTGTAATCCCAGCACTTTGGGCGGGCAGATCGCGAGGTCAGGATTTCGAGACCAGCTTGATCAACATGGTGAAACCCCATCTCTACTAAAGATACAAAAATTAGTTGGGTCTGGTTTCGCGCACCTGTAATCCCAGCTACTCAGGAGGCTGAGGCGGGAGAATCACTTGAGCCCAGGAGGCGGAGGTTGTGGTGAGCTGAGATCACGCCACTGCACTCCAGCCTGGGCAGCAGAGCAAGACTCTGTCTCCAGAAAAAAAAAAAAAAAAAGGAAAAGAAAATAGAAATTCGATAGCATGCTGGCAGGGTATTGTGGATAAGTGGTCTGAAAAGGTGTCTCTGAGCTGAGGGCATGTGAGCTGGGGCCTAAACAACTAGAAGGAGAGAGCCACATGAACATCCAGAGAAGGGGATCCAGGAGAGGGAAAGGAAATAGCAAGCGCTGAGGTAGGAATGAGCAGGTCAGAACCCAGGCAGTGAGGTCAGGCCCCCTGAACCTGGGAGGCATAGGCGACTTCATGCAAAAACCCCAGCCCAGGCTTTAAGAGCCTAAGGGTAATATGGTGGGTCCCAAGCCCCTCTGCTCCCCACTTTGTAGAGCCTGGCACGAGGTAGCAATGACTAGAATCGGATTCTAGGTGCTTAGCCTGCAATATCAGGGCTTCATGGGGTGGTGGGGGGGAGCTGCCACCCGCTGGGTTGCTTGGCCATAGAGCCGTAGAAGGAAGCTGTCAGCCCACAGTGCCTGCCACCTACATACTGATGCCATTGTGTGCTGCCTCAGACACCTGGAGTTAGGACGTTTTGTAGAGCCTTTTCCAGTTTTACTAAAATATTTTTTCATTGCCTCTGTTTCTGTGCTTTTTCTTATTCATCCACCAGGTGTCTCCCCAGTCCGTAGCTGAATTTCCCTCTCAGGACTGGGAATAAATGGGTTCCCTCCCACTGCTTGCAGCCTTTGAGCGGTGGGCTTCCGAGGAAGCAGGGACATTAAGGGGCCTTCACACCCCACCTCCCCTTTCCATCTCTTCTTGGCCTAGGGAAAGCAAGATGGTCTGTCCTCATGCCTAACTTCCCTGAGGATCTTGAGTGACTCCTGCACAGGTGCTCATTCCTGGGCCACATGCCCGGGCCCTCCCTGACTGGCCATTCCTCTGTGATGTGAGCCACTCACCTCCCTAGTGGACTTAGACTCAACATATTCTCTCTACCCCCCTCCATCTCCCATACCCTCTCCTTGATTCTTTTACGTTCATGTGTGCCAGAACTCCTGGAGATGTGTGAAAAATGTAGAACCTGGGCCCCATTCTCCCATCCTCCACCACATACATTTGTCATTCTGGAAATTTGAGGAGGGATACAGTAATCCTCATATCTAGCAAGCCCTGGAGGAGACTGTAAAATAAGTGATCCAGAAGCACTGTCAGAAATATGCCTAAATGATGACACCTTCTCATCTCTCGTCCTCTGATATTCAGAAGTCCCAGTTTCCCTTTGGATTTGCCTGAAAGAGTCGTGAGAATGCAAGATGTTCTGAGAGGGCTGGGGAGAATCCTTTTGTAAGGTTTGGGGGAAGGTTTCTTGCTCCCTTTGGAAGCAGGGCTGCCTTGTGAAGGTCTTCCTTTCAACCTAAGAAGGGGCTTCTGGGACTGGTGGAGGGGTCTGTGGTCTCTGGAGTGAGAACTGTGGCCACAAATGTCTCCTGAAACATGGGGAGCAAGGCTGCTGGAAAGCTGCTGTCTGTGAGGAAGAACCTGTGGGTTGGGAGAGCTCCTCTAGGGCCTCCCTTCTTGGGGGTCTCTCCCAGACTGGCTGGAGCCAGGCCTCCCTAATCCCACAGTAATCATTCCCAGCCGTTGGCTGTTCTAGGCCTCATCCAGAGCCTGTACTATTGAACAGCAGCCCAGCCATGTCTTCCAGAGGCACAATACCAGATGTGTCCTACCTGGGAAGATGTGGGTTCCACATTCCTGTCTCCCTGGAATGCCTAGAAAGAACAAAGGGAAAGCAGGACAAAATGCAGGCCCATTAAACCTCTCTGGTCAGGCCTTCCTGCGTAAGGCACCCCCACAGGCAGCATGGGCAGCTGCTGACCCAGTTGCATCTCATTGTTGGGAGAAGCAGGCATTCTCTCAGAGAGCCCCAGCTCTGACATGAGGGCCTAGCGGAGCTTCTGGGTTGGCCACAAAAGGGCCATTACCTTGGGTTTTGAGTTGTGCGGCATCTAGGGTCTTATAAAGAAGATAAGTTTCAACCCAGCCTCCTGCATCAGAGCTAAGGGATAGACAGAATGGTTGTGAGTGGATCCTGCTGTGGGAGTTCTGTGGATGCCAGGCCTCCTTCCCTCAGTGCCCCCTGAAGTCTGGGTAACGCCATCCATCTTCCACCCACATACAGATCAAAGAGCCGTTTTCATCCCCATTTTCTCTGTAGAAAACAGCCCTCAGAAAACAGGCATGCCAGGTCGGGTGGATCACCTGGGCCCCTCCAGTTTAACTGCTTCCCCTGTCTGGCACTGAGGGGCTAGCAGTCTTCCTGCCCTGCCTCTGCTGTTACCACCAACCCACTTTCTGGTAGGAACTCCTGATTCCTCTTTCTTAGCCCTGCCTTTACTGGTCTTCCCAGCTCAGACTTCCTTAGTCAGTCCATCAACTCTTTCAGGATTTTCTTCTGTGGTCTTTTTCAAACTACTAGCTCACTTTTCCCTTTTATTTCCCACTTGGAACCCTCCCACTTCATCAAATCAAACTCACTACCCTCTTCCATGCCCCTTCCCTAGTGCCCAACACAAGCCTGTGCATAAGCTTACACATTACTGTCTTTGCCGGTGGTGTTTCCCCTTCAGGCTTAACCTGCTTCCTCCTTCCCAGACTTTTCCCGTCTTGATTGTCCTCTCTGTAAACACAAGAATGAATTTCAAGGCAAGTTATATAATGTCTTACAGCCTGTTTCCTCATCCGTAAAATGGGGCTATTAATTCCTCAGGATGGGATAAGGGTACAAATAAAAAAATGAAGCAGGATATTCTTTGTAAAAGTGTTTATGCACTTTTTATTGTGTTTCTCCCCAGCTACCTTCCCTCTCCCTGCCACACACATCCTATTTGCAGAGTGTTGGGGGAGGTGGAACTGTGATGTGGGCCCTGCTGTCTAGCAGTCTGCAGTCACAGCCATCCAAACTACGGGATTGTATATGATTCAGTGCCAAACTGTGAGCTTTGGGGAATCCAGAAAGAAGGATGAAGTGTCTTTCGCAAGGTTCCTTTTGTTAAATGAGCCACTTGGATCCTGTTCTGACTCCTAGGCACGTGCCAGAGTCAGTCACATACGTTCCTGTGGCCTTTATAATTTTGGTCCATCTCTTGGGCCCACATTAATACTGTCATGGATGGAAGAGGAAGGACCACGCCGGCTCAGGGCCTGAACGCAGGTTTTGTTTGAACTATGGGAGCTAATTTCAAATAGGCTGTGACCTATGAAAGGAGGCAGGACTCAAGTTCGCACAGAAAGAAGGACCATCCTAGTCAAGTCAAAGGAGTTGGGGATTTGATCGTGAGGGGTTTCCTAGATGGCTGCTGGGTAAGGTGATTGAATCTGGGAAGGACGGAGTATTCGATTGCTTAGAAGGGTGCACTGTAAGTTCTGAATAAGAATGGTGCCCGGGCCGGATGCAGTGGCTCAAGGCTATAATCCCAGCACTTTGGGAGGCAGAGATGGGTGGATCACGAGGTCAAGAGATCGAGACCATCCTGGTCAACATGGTGCAACCCCGTCTCTACTAAAAATACAAAAATTAGCTGGGGATGGTGGCGCACGCCTGTAATTCCAGCTACTCGGGAGGCTGAGGCAGGAGAAGTGCTTGAACCCAGAAGGCAGTGGTTGCAGTGAGCCGACATCACGCCATTGCACTCCAGCCTGGGTAACAAGAGCAAAATTCCGTCTCAAAAAAAAAAAAAACAGAATGGTGCCCAGGATGAGCTGGAGGAAGGCAGGTGTTTGAATGACCCAGTCCCTGAGGTGAGCCTGGGTTAGGGTTAAGATTCGGTGAGTGAACGTCTATAAATGCTTGTGGCTCATTTATCCAGAAAAAGCATTTTCTGTGTGCCTTTCAGGTCAAGCTGTTACTTCAACCCCTTCAGGCCTGACCCCATCTCCCCCACACACACCTCAAGCTGAACAGCCCCTGAAGCTGGGAATCGAGCCTCTGCCTTGTGTTCAGAGCTTCCCCCAACGCCCAGTCTCCACCTAAGGCAGCCCTCCTTCCATGCTCTAGGCCGAGAGCAGAAGCGGGTGGCAAGAACGCAGGGAGTGAGGTCCAGGATAGAGGACAGGCCAGAAGGCCCTCCGAGAGAGTCCGCCAACCCCCAATGTCAGGACAGGTTTGCATGTCCCCAGCAGTAGACAAGTCGGAGGGGTCCTAGGGTTACAGGGGATGGTGCGCGTCTATAAGCATGTGGAAGGTGCACGGGGTGGAGAGGCCACCACCAGGGGGCGATTATCAGAGCCGTAGATACTAGAGGCGGGGTGGGTGTGGGGGTCGCCCGATGACGGACGGCTGTGTGTGAGCCTCGCCTCAAACTGTCTCTATTGTGTTAGAGTAGGGGGCGCTAAGAGAGCAGCGACCTTCCCCGCACTCCACCCAGTCTGCCCTGCCTTCCAGGCCTCCGCCCCGGTTCCACCTCCACCCCAACCCGCCCCGCCTCACAGCCCTCCCCCACCTCATCCCACAGACAAGAGTGCTAATTTAACCATGTGCGGTTCCTGCAGAGGCTCAGTTGCACCCACCTCTATGCATGTGGGACTCACACCTTCCAGCCCCTCTGTGCAGCCATTGTGAGTATAACTGTGCTGTGCCAGATCCCTGCTGACTTCAATAGGGATGGCATCATGTTTGAGATGCCACAGAAGAGACTCAGAACCGGCAAAAGAGATGTATTGTTTTTTGTTTTGAGATGGAGTCTTGCTGTCACCCAGGCTGGAGTGCAACCTCCACTCCCTGGGTTCAAGCAATTCTCCTGACTCAGCCTCCTGAGTAGCCGGGATTATAGGCACACGCCACCATGGCCAGGTAATTTTTATATTTTTAGTAGAGACAGGGTTTTGCTATGTTGGACAGGCTGCTTTCAAACTCCTGACCTCGGATAATCCACCCACCACAGCCTCCCAAAGTGCTGGGATTACAGGCATGAGCCACAGCCGAGATGTATGGTTTATTAAGGGAACTTACATACAGGGCAGTCCAGTGGCAGCAGGCTGCACTGGAGCACCACTCCCCTTTATAAAAAGCTTGTAGTTTATAAAGCATTTTCACTTAGCATCCTCCCCCTCATTACCTCCACCTGGCAGACTTCATTTAACCCAAAACAAAAGGCCTTGATCCCCTGTACAGCATGTGTCCCAGAATGGAATGGGGGCTCAGATGTTCTTCAGAGACAAGGAATGAATCTCTGGGTTGGAACTCCAGACACACATTGTTTTTAGGCCATAAGGTTGTTCTCAGGGGTTGTCTAAGTTATCGCTGCCTGGTATATCTGCCATACAACCTGCCCCTAGCCCTGATTGCTGATCCCTGACCCCAGACCGATGTGACTTTGAGTCACTGTCCTTGCCTGTCTTCTGAACCACTTACTGCTGGTCCCTTGTTCCCTAGGATGCTGAGGCCTTCACCTTGCCAACTAGCTTTGAGGAGGGGAAGGAGAAGTGTCCTTATGACCCAGCCCGCGGCTTCACAGGCCTCATCATTGGTGAGCAGGCCCTCTTCCCTGGCACAAGCATGGGGTTTTTAGGATGTGGATCTCATCTTTAGAACTTGCCACCATATATATGTCATGTGTCCCGTTGTATATGACACGTCTCTCCTGGAATGTCCCCACCCCAGATGGAGGCCTCTACACAGCCACTAGGTACGAATTCTGGAGCATTCCCGACATCCGCCGGAGCCAACACCCACACTCCCTGAGAACCAAGGAGACACCAATGCACTGGCTCAATGGTTAGGGGGCTGGGGCACAGAGTGGCAGGGGGGTAGGAGACTATTTCTTCATGTTTACTTCCTTGGGCAGCTGCCTATCCAACCCTGAATGCCAAGGTGAAACTATCCATTCCATTCTTGTGTGTTGTCAAGGGTAGGGTCGGCCTTGGAGTGAGGGAAAGGGGTCCCCAGCCTGTCTAAAAGCCTCTCAAGGCCACGCATGGTGACTCATGCCTGTAATCTCAGCACTCTGGTAAGCCGAGGTGGGCGAATCACGAGGTCAGGAGATCGAGACCATCCTGACCAACATGGTGAAACCCTGTCTCTACTAAAAATACAAAAAAAAAAAAAAAAAAAAAAAAAAAAAAAAGGCTGGGCATGGGGGTACACACCTGTAGTCCCAGCTATTCAGCAGGCTGAGGCAGAATTGCTTGAACCCAGGAGGCAGCGTTGCAGTGAGCCCAGATCATGCCACTGCACTACAGCCTGGTTGACAGTGCGTGACTCTGAGTCAAAAACAAACAAAAAGCCTTTCAAATGCCTGACCCACAGATGCTGATTTCGTGTTCTCCATCATCGTGTGGGACACAGTGGGAGAAAGGGGTCCTCAGCCTGTCTCAAAAGCCTCTCAAATGCCTGACCCACAGATGCTGATTTCGTGTTCTCCATCCTCATGTGGGACACAGTGGGGGAAAGGGGTCCTCAGCCTGTCTCAAAAGCCTCTCAAATGCCTGACCCACAGATGCTGATTTCGTGTTCTCCATCCTCATGTGGGACACAGTGGGGGAAAGGGGTCCTCAGCCTGTCTCAAAAGCCTCTCAAATGCCTGACCCACAGATGCTGAGTTTGTGTTCTCTGTCCTCGTGCGGGAGAGCAAGGCCAGTGCAGTGGGTGACGATGACAAGGTTTATTACTTCTTCACGGAGCGTGCCACCGAGGAGGGCTCTGGCAGCTTCCCTCAGAGCCGCAGCAGCCACCGTGTGGCCCGTGTGGCTCGCGTCTGCAAGGTGGAGAGGGCTGACGTCGGGGCATGGGTATGGAGGCTGGATCTCTGACCCTGGTCCCTTATCCCATGCCTCTACCTCCCCAGGGAGACCTGGGAGGGAAGAAGATCCTGTAGAAAAAGTGGACATCCTTCCTGAAAGCCCGTCTCATCTGCCATATTCCACTGTATGAGACGCTGCGTGGGGTCTGCAGTCTGGATGCTGATACCTCAAGCCGTACACACTTCTATGCAGTCTTCACGCTGAGCACACAGTGGTCAGTGCAGGGACCATGGGGAGGCAGGGAACTGGGGACAGCATAGGCGCTGGAGCAGAGGTCAATGAGGATGAGAGAGGATCCACTGTGGGGAGGTCCAGCTGCAAAGTGAGAATTTTAAGCACATCAAGCTAGGCTAGAACCAGGGAACGAATACAGTGGTCCACTGACTCTACAGGAGAGGCCCTTGGGACTACAGCTGGGGTTGGCCGGGGTAACAGCAAGCTTCAGGCTGAGCATGGGTCATGGGGCCGGCTTGACTCCATGTAATTCGCCCCCCTACCCTATGTCCCATTCCTAGGAAGACCCTGGAGGCCTCAGCCATTTGCCGCTATGACCTGGCCGAGATGCAGGCTGTCTTTGCAGGACCCTATATGGAATACCAGGATGGTTCCCGGCGTTGGGGTCGCTATGAGGGTGGGGTGCCTGAGCCCCAGCCTGGCTCGGTGAGTCCAGGCCTGGGGCCAGTGCTGAGTAGACAGAGCCCAGGGAAGGGCCACAGGGTCTGGGCTTGTGGAGAGGGCAGGCAGGTGGTAGGGTCCCGAGGTTCATCACCCCCATCCCCACCCCAGCGCATCAGATTCATTGCGCAACCAAGGCTACAACTCATCGCAAGCCTTCCCATCCCTGGTCCTGGACTTTGTAAAGTTGCATCCACTGATGGCTCGGCCCATTGTGCCCACATGTGGACGGCCCCTGCTGCTGAAGTGCAACATATAATCCCCTTAATATAGCCTTGCTGAAACAGGAGGAGGGAGTGGGGAGGTTGGGCAGAGGCTGGGGGTCTGTAAGTATGAGTAGGGGGCGTGGCCAATCAACTGTCCTATCTGGCTCCCAGCACAGCCTCTACGTGGGGGCTCCTAGTGGAGTCATCCAACTACCACTCTCCAGCTGCATCTGCTACCGATCCTTCTATGACTGCATCTTGGCCCGGGACCCCTACTGTGGCTGGGACCCTGGCACTCAGGCCTGTGTGACAGCCACCACCGCAGCTAACAGGTCCCAGGGTAGCAGGTGGGAAGTGGTGAGGGGTGAGAACCACATGTGGCCTGAGTGGAGGAGAGAAGGCCTGATGGCTACTGGGGGAGAATGGGGGCTAGTTATTGCTAACAGACCTATCCACCCTTTCACTGGGAAACTGAAACCCAGTGCTCCTTGTTCATGAAAGCTGATCTTCTGTCCCCAGGACAGCACTGATACAGGACATAGAGAGAGGAAATCGAGGCTGTGAGAGCAGCAGGGATACAGGTAAGTGACTCACACACAAGTGTGGGTCTAGTCGAGCAGCCTGTCCTTTTTGCCATTCACTGTCATTTGTATGTGCATGTTTGTATCTGAATGGCTGTGGCTATGTGCATTTGGTAAGGATGACCCAAACACAGATCCTGGCACAGAGCGATGCTCAACAAACATTTGCTGCCCAAATGAATTATAAATGAGGAAACACATTCAAGATGTGACATGTCTTGTCACCTCTGGAGCTTTCAGCCAAGTGGCGGATGACAAGGGTTCAGGAGGGTAATGGGTATTTCCCCATGGAAGTTCAGATGACTGAGCTGATACCTGAAGAAAGAACAAAAGTTGATCAGCATAGCTAAGATGTATTAAATGCTTACTGTGGGCCAGGCGTGGTGGCTCACAAGGTCAAGAGATCGCGACTATCCTGGTCAACAAGGTGAAACCCCGTCTCTAATAAAAATACAAAAATTAGCTGGGCATGGTGGTGCGCACCTGTAGTCCCAGCTACTCGGGAGGCTGAGGCAGGAGAATTGCTTGAACCCAGGAGGCAGAGGTTGTGGTAAGCCAAGATCATGTCACTGCACTCCAGTCTGGGTAACAACAGCGAAACTCCGTCTCAAAAAAAAACGCTGAGGAGGAAAAAGAAGATGGCGCAGCAGGAGCAACTGATGATTGCAGCTCTCAGTGAAGATGCAGAGGGTGAGTGCAAGCTGCATTTCCAGACGGATCTTTGTTGCCCACAGAATGGGGAAATTCCCAGGTGTAGGAGAGAGATGGGATGCCAGTGCAGCTGTTTTGGCTGGCATGGCCGTTTCGGCTGGCGCCACAGCACAGCGGCACTCCGCACAAAACACACTGGTCTGGGTGCCCTGTTAAACCGGCAATCTGAGATTTGGGAGGGCAGATTAGCATATCCATCTGATTAAACGAGACTCCCCTTCTCTCCTGATTCCCAGGAGATTCCCAGGAAGTGACATTTGAGGCGGTGCAGTGGGTCGCTGCACCGGATCCCAGTGCCCTATTAGCAGGTGACTGAAACACCTGGGAGAGAGTCAAGCGTTCAACTTAAAAAAAATAAAAAGGGCTCTGAGGCAGGGAGCCAGGTGATCAGGCTCGGTGGTTCCCACACCCACAGGGACAAACAAAACGACAATTCAAAACGCTCGGGATTGAGTTTCACTGCGGGCACAGCTGAACCCAGGACAATGCAGCTCAGTGGGGGAGGGGCGTCCGCCATTACCAAGGCATTCTGCCCCTATTGAGCAGCCTGCCGTTGCCAAGGTAACCCGCCATGAGAGAGAGACTCCACCAACAGGGCGGAGCCCACGGCAACAGGGTGGAGCCCACAGCAACAGGGCGGAGCCCACGGCAACAGGGCAGAGCCTGGCAGGCAAATAGTGACTAGACTGCCTCCTAGCTGGGCAGGACAGTGCAACGGATACTCATAAAGAAAGCCCTAACTCCCCGAGACAGAGCATCTGAGGAAAAAAAGGGGTTTTATGAGTTCTGCTGCAGCAGACTTAAACGTACCTGCCTAACAGACCTGAATGATCAATGGAGCTCACAGCTCAGCACTTGAGCTCCTTTTTTTTTTTTTTTTTGGAATAGTGAGGCAGAGGTCAGGGGCAAATGGAGAGCATTCCTCAGACCCACCTGTTTCTTTTTTATTTTTTCTTTGAGCATTTCTTATAGAGCATTTCTGGAATATTCTAGGTGAGAAGGCTAATGTAAAGTAAACTGAGCGAGGATGCTGCCGTCTGGGGAGGTGAGATGTTGCATGTTTGGTGATACGTTTGGATTGTCAGTGAATTGATATTTAGACTTGATAGATATATGAATGAAATTCAAGTACTCCACACATTAATGTCAGCAGTAGAAACATATGGTTCCATAATGAAATGAAATAGAGATGTTTCTCACACTAATTAGATTAGCAAGATGAAAAATGATTAAAAGCTTCAGGGACTGAGGTTTCTTTTTTTTTTTTTTAAGGGAGAAAGAGAAAGAAAAAGAGGGAAAAAGGAGGAAAAAAGAGGGAAAAAGAGAAAAAGAGGGAAAAAGAAATATTACTTCATTCCTAAAATGGGTATCAATAATGGCCAATCAATATTTTGTGTGTTTAAAGGGGATAATGTATATTTTGTGGATTTAAAATGGAGAGCTCTATTGAGTTTATTTGTTCTGGTTCTGAGTTCAAGTCCTGGATATCGTTATCAATTTTCTGTCTTGTTGAATCTAAATCTCATTATGGGTCTTATGTATCTGGGTGTTAAGATCTCTTACCCTTGTATCCTTGTAGCTTTGAAATCTATTTTATTAATTGTGAGAATTGCAACTCCTGCTTTTTATTTATTTGTTTTTGCTCTCCATTTGGTTGGTAAGTTTTTTTCCAACCCTTTAAGTCTTTGTATATCTTTAGATATACTGTTAGATTTTGTCTGTATCTTTTGATTGGGGGATTTAGTCGATTTAAATTTAGGGTTACTGCCATTTGATATTAACTGGCTATTTTATCCTTTCATTGATGTAAATTCTTCTTTATGTTAACGCTCTTTACTTTTTGGTATATTTTAGAATACGGGTTGTTCCTTTCTATGTATAATACTTCTTTTAGAAGTTCTTGTAAAGCAGGCCTGGTGGTAGTAAAATCTCTAAGTACTTGCTTGTTCCTGAAAGATTTTATTTTTCCTTCAATTGTAAAGCTTAAATTGGCAGGATATGAAATTCTGGGCTGCAAGTTCTGTTCTTTAAGTATATTGAATATTGGCCCCCACTCTCTTCTAGCTTGTAGGGTTTCCACTGAGAGATCTGCTGTAAGCCTAATAGGCTTCCCTTTATGGGTAACCTGATCTTTCCCTCTGGCTGCCCTTAAAATTTTCTCCTTCGTTTCGATCCTGGTGAATCTAACGATTATGTGCCTTGGGGTTGGTCTTCTTGAGGAATATCTTTGTGGTGTTCTCTGTATGCCTGGGGTTGAATAGTGTCCTGCTTTGCTAAGTTGGGAAAATTTTCCTGGATAGTGTCCTGAAAAGTATTTTCCAGCTTGAATTCATTCTCTCCGTCACATTCATGTACACCGATCAAACGTATATTAGGTCTTTTCACATAGTCCCATATTGCTTGGAGACTTTGCTCATTCCTTTTTATCCTTTTTTCTCTATTCTTGTCTTGTCGTTTTATTTCATTAAGTTGGTCTTCGACCTCTGATATCCTTTCTTCTGCTTGGTCCATTCGGCTATTTAAGCTTGTACATATTTCACTAAGTTCTCGTGTTGTATTTTTCAACTCCATAAGTTCATTTGTATTCCTCTCTATATTGTCTATTCTTTTCATCATTTCATCGAACCTTTTTTCAAAGTTCTTAGTTTCTTTACATTGGGTGAGAACAAGTTCCTTTAACTCCCAGAAGTTTCTTATCATCCACCTTTTAAAGCCTACTTCAGATAATGGAACACAGTCCTTTTCCATCAGGACTTGTTCTGTTGCTGATGAGTCCTTTTCCATCAGAGCTTGTTCCGTTGCTGATGAGTCCTTTTCCATCAGGGCTTGTTCCGTTGCTGATGGGTTCTGATTTCGAGTATACTCGGCCTTCTTAGGCTGTTTTTTTCCCTTCATTGTAGATGAACCGCCTTTCTAATTAGGTTTCTGAGTCGACATCCAATTTATTGATTCCCAGTGCTGGGATCTGAGCAACCCACTGTGGCAGCCTAAATAGCAGCGATAAGACTGATGGTGCTCTTCTGCCCGGGAATCTCTGGTCTGGCTTCCCTCTTGAGTCCGCAACAAGCGGCTCTGACTTCCCGGAGCTTCGAACTCCGGTCAGTAGGGGAAGCAGTCCCATTTGCTCTGCATGAAGAGCTGCTGCGCCGAGACGCTGGCAAAACCACTGCGGTGGCCACAAGAGTCGCGCTGGCGACCCGTGGGGCTCCTCCACTGGGAATCAGCTGATCCGTGAGTGACGAAAATTCGTCTAAAAGTGTGGCGTCGTTCGTTCTGTGAGCTTTCACTGGGAGCTACAATCCCGAGCTGTTAGTGATCGGCCATCTTGGATCGGTCTCTTGAGCTCCTATAAAGTACAGACCGCCACCTCAAGCAGCTCACTGACCTCTGTATATCCAAATAGTCACCTCAAAAAGGACTGATCAGAATGACATTTGGTGGGCATCATTCTGGGACAAAGATAGCGGAAGAAGAAACTGGTAGCATCCCTCACTGTTCCGCAGCTGCTACAGGTGTACCCCGGACAAGCAGGGCCTGGAGTGGACCTCAGCAGTCCTACAGCAGAGGGGCTAGACTGTTAGAAGAAAAACTAAGTAACAGAAATACTTCATCATCAACAATCTGGGCATCCACTCAGAGACCCAACCGAAAAGTCAGCAACTACTCAGATGACAGGTGGATAAACCCATAAAGATGGGAAGAAACCAGCACAAAAAGAAGGAAAACACCCGAAACCAAAACACCTCGCCTCCTACAAAGGACCAAAACTCCTCACCAGCAAGAAAACAAAGCTGGATGGGGAATGTGTCTGATGAAATGACGGAATCAGACTTCAGAAGGTGGGTAATGAGAAACTTCCATGAGCTAAAAGAACATGTTCTAAATCAATGCCAAGAAACTAAGAACCTTGAAAAAAGATTTGAGGAAATGATAACAAGAATGGACAACTTAGAGAGGAATATGAATGAATTGAAGGAGCTGAAAAACACACACGCGAAGCATGCACAAGTTTTAACAGCCGAATTAACCAAGCAGAAGAAAGAATATCAGAAGCTGAAGATCAACTCAATGAAATAAAACGAGAAACCAAGATTAGAGAAAAAAGCGCAAAAAGGAATGAACAAAGTCTCCAAGAAATGTGGGACTATGTGAAGAGACCTAACCTACGTTTGATAGGTGTACCAGAATGTGACGAAGAGAATGAATACAAGCTGGAAAATACTCTTCAGGATATTATCCAGGAAAATTTCCCCAACCTAGCAAGGCAGGCCAATATTCAAGTCCAGGAAATACAGAGAACACCACAAAGATATTCCGCAAGAAGAGCAACCCCAAGGCACATAATCGTCAGATTCACCAGGGTTGAAATGAAGGAGAAAATACTAAGGGCAGCCAGAGAGAAAGGTCGGGTCACCCACAAAGGGAAGCCCATCAGACTCACAGCAGATCTCTCGGCAGAAACTCTGCAAGCCAGAAGAGAGTGGGGGCCAATATTCAACATCCTTAAAGAAAAGAACTTTCAACCCAGAATTTCCTATCCAGCCAAACTGAGCTTCATAAGTAAAGGAAAAATAAAATCCTTTGCGAAGAAGCAAGTACTCAGA